TATATTTCTTAACTTCCACATATGAGTGAAATCATATGGTATTTGTCTTTCTCTCCACTTCTCTAGTTCCATCCATGAAGTTGCAATTGGCGATTTTTTTTTTAAAGACTTTATTTATTTGAGAGAGAGAGAGAGATCACAAGTAGGCAGAGAGGCAGGCGGAGAGAGAGAGGGGAGGAAGCAGGCTGCCTGCGGAGCAGAGAGCCCGACTCGGGGCTCGGTCCCAGGACCCTGGGATCATGACCTGAGCTGAAGGCAGAGGCTTTAACCCACTGAGCCACCCAGGCGCCCCTGCAATTGGCGAGATTTTGTTCATCTTCTGGCTGAGTAATATTCCATTGTGTATATATACACACCATTTCTTCTTTACCCATTCGTCAGTCAGTGGCCATTTGGGCTCCATACTCTGGCTGTTGGAGATGGTGCTGCAGTAAACATCGGGGTGCATGTATCTCTTTGACTCAGTGTTTTTGTATTCTCCAGGTAAATACCTAGCAGTGCGATTTCTGGGTCATAGGGGAGCTCTATTTTCAACTTGATGAGGAACCTCCATACTGTTTTCCAGAGTGGCTGCACCACCAGCAGTGTAGGAGGGTTCCCCTTTCTCTGTATCCTCATTAACCTTTGTTGTTTCCTGACTTGTTAATTTTAGCCGTTCTGACTGGTGTGAGGTGGTATCTCATTGTGGTTTTGATTTGCATTTCCCTGATGATGAGTGATGTTCAGCATCTTTTTTTTTTTCTTTTTTAAGATTTATTTGTTTATTTTAGAACGAGAGCACAAGGAGGAGGGGCAGCGGGAGAGAGAATCTAAAGCAAAATCCACACTGAGCCAGGAGCCCAAACCAGGGTTCAATATTATGACACTGAGATCAGGACCTGAACCAAAACCAAGAGTCAGACCCTTAACAGACTGCACCACCCCAGAGCCCTTGAGCATCTTTTCATGTGTCTGTTGGCCACATATGTATCTTTTTTTTTTTCCAGTTCTAATTTTTTTTTAAGATTTCATGTATTCAAGGGAGAGAGCAGGAACTGGGGAGTGGGGGAGGCAAAGGGAGAAGGAGAAGGAGACTTCCCACTGAGCAGGGGGCCCGATGCAGGGCTTAACCCCAGGACCCTGAGATCATGACCTGAGTCAAAGGCAGAGGCTTAACCCACTGAGCCACCCAAGCACCCCAAGGCCACATGTATATCTTTGGACAAATGTCTGTTCGTGTCTTCTGTCCATTTTTTTAATTGGATTATTTTGTTGCTGTTGTGTAAATTCTCTAGAGATTGTGGTTACTAGCTGTTTATCTGACATGGCATTTGCAAATATATTCTCCCATTCCATGGCTTGCCTTTTAGCTTTGTAGATTGCTTCCTTTGCTGTGCAGAAGCTTTTTGCTTTGATGTAGTCCCAATAGTTTATTTTTGCTTTTGTTTCCCTTGCCTCAGGAAACATATCTAGTAAGAAGTAGTTACTGCCAATGTCAAAGAAGTTACTGCCTGTGTTCTCCTCTAGGCTTTTGACAGTTTCCTATCTCACATTTAGGGCTTTCGTCCATTTTGAATTTATTTTTGTGTGCAGTGTAAGGAAGTGGTCCAGTTTCATTCTTTTGCATGTGGCTCTCCAATTTTCCCAACATCATTTGTTGAAGAGATTATCTTTTTCCCACTGGATATTCTTTCCTGCTGTGTCAAAGATTAGTTGTCCGCATAGGTATGGGTCCATTTCTGGGTTTTCTGTTCTGTTTCATTGACTGTGTGTCTATTTTCTTGATGACTACAGCTCTGTGATATAACTTGAAGCCTGGAATTGTGACGCCTCCAGCTTTGCTTTGCTTTTCAAGATTGCTTTTAGTGTTGGGGGTCTTTTGTGGTCCCATACAAACTTAAGAATAGTTTGTTCTGTTTCTGTGGAAATGCTGTTGGTTTTTTGATAGGGATTACATTAAATGTGTAGATTGGGGCCGCCCAGGTGGCTCAGTGGGTTACACCTCTGTCTTCGGCTCAGGTCATGATCCCAGGGTCCTGGGATCAAGGCCCACATCGGGCTCTCTGCTCAGCAGGGAGCCTGCTTCCCCCCACCCCACCCCCCGCCTGCCTCTCTGCCTACTTGTGAGCTCTCTCTGTCAAATAAATAGATACTTTAAAAAAAAAAAATGTGTAGATTGCTTTGGGCAATATAGACTTTTTTTTTTAAAAGATTTTATTTATTTGACAGAAAGAGCCAGAGAGCACAAGCTGGGGGGTGGGGGTGGCAGGACGGGTAGGTAATGGCACAGGGAGAGGGAGAAGCAGGCTGCCCTCCAAGCGGGGAGCCCAATGTGGGGCTCAGTTCCAGGCCTCTGGTATCATGACCTGAGCCAGAGGCAGATGCTTAACCGACTGAGCTACCCAGGCGCCCCTGTAGTCTAGACACTTTAACAATATTTGTTATTCTAATCCGTGGGCAGGGAATATCTTTCCATTTCTTTGTGTTGCATAGACAATTTTTTTTTAAGATTTTATTTATTTATTTGACACAGAGAGAGAGGGAGGGAGACAGCAAGCACAAACAGGAGGAGCTGCAGGCAGGGGAGAAGCAGGCTCCCCGTAGAGCAGGGAGCCTGATGTGGGGCTGAATCCCAGGACCCTGGGATCATGACATGAGCCAAAGGCAGATGCTAGCGACTGAGCCACCCAGGTGCCCCATAGACAAATATTTTTTTAATTTAATTTAATTTTTTTCATTGTTCTAAGTTTCATTGTTTATGCACCACACCCAGTGCTCTATGTAATACGTGCCCTCCTTAATACCCACCACCAGGCTCACCTAACCCCCACTCCCCTCCCCTCCAAAACCTTCAGTTTGTTTCTCAGAGTCCACAGTCTCTCATGGTTCATCTCCACTCTGATTTCCCCCAGTTCACTTATCCTTTCCTTCTCCTAATGTCCTCCGTGTTATTCCTTATGCATAGTCAAATTTTTTGAAGTTTAGTTTTATTTTTTTAAAGATTTTACTTATTTGAGAGAGATAGAGAGAGCATAAGCAGGGGGCAGAGGGAGAAGCAGACTCCCCGCTGGGTATGGACCTGATGCATGACTCAATCCTGGGACCCTGGGATCATGACCTGAGCCAAAGGCAGATACTTAACCCACTTAGCCACTCAGGTGCCCCTTAAGATTATTTATTTATTTATTTATTTTATTTATTTTTTTTTAAAGATTTTATTTATTTGACAAAAAGAGGGATCACAAGTAGGCAGAGAAGCAGGCAGAGAGAGAGGGGGAAGCAGGCTCCCCGCCGAGCAGAGAGCCGGATATGGGGCTCGATCCCAGGACCCTGGGATCATGACCCGAGCTGAAGGCAGAGGCTTTAACCCACTGAGCCACCCAGGCGCCCCAAGATTATTTATTTATTTTAAGTAATCTCTACACTCAACATGACCCCAAGATCAAGTCTCATGCTCTTGTGACTGAGCCAGCCAGGCTCCTGGCATAGACAGATTTTTAAATAAAATTTTCAGAATAGTTTCTGGACACTCTAGACATTTTAGAGTTACAGAAAGATTGTGAAGATAGTACAGAGAGTTCCTATATACACCACACTCAGTTTCCCCTATTATTAATGCTTTACATTAATAATAGGGGAAATATTGAACCATTGTTGATTATTATTAAAATCCATACTTTATTCACATGTTAGTCATTTTTTAGCTACTGTCCTTTTTCTGTTCCAGGATCCCATGTAGGATCTATATTATTTTTAATCGTCTCATCTCACATCTCCTCAGGCTCTTCTTGGGTGTGACAGTTTCTCAGACTTGACTTGTCTTTGAGGATCTTGACAGTTTTGAGGAGTGCACTTTTTTTGTAGAATGCCACTCATTTGGGATTTGACTGGTGTTTCTCACTATTTTACTGATGTTACAGGTTTGGGAGAGGAAGACCCCAAAGATGAAGTGCCATTCTCATCATATCAAGAGCATATGCTGTCCACTTATTACTCTTGAGACGTAAAACAATTTGTAAAATGGAAAGGAGCAGAGAGGATATAATATGTGTAATTTGAGTATGCAGCAAAACTTCTACCAAGTTTGGAGACAGAATTGGGTTTGTTCCCAGGGGATAAGAGAATGGTGACAATCCACCAGGCTTCCGCACCTTGGTCTGAGCTGTCAAGATGGAAAGGGCTGAAGGAGCCCCATTCTGTGGAGAGATGAGGGGTCTGTTCTGTCACAATTCCATGGGAGACGGAGCGTCCCCCGTGCCAGGTGCTGTCCCAGCAGCAGCAGCTACAGCAGTAGCGTAGCAAGAGGCAGAGCTGCTTTTACCCCGTGTTTCTCTTATAGCCCGAATCACGTGGACTTTGTGAATGGTAAAAACACAGCTGTCAATGATGTTACTGTCACTTTCCCAAACTTACTATCAGTTGAATTTCCGCCTCTTTTGCCTTCTCTATTTGAATACTTCTTCATCTGCTCTACTGTTCACAAATCTCTTCAATTCCTGTCCTGTGTCCCAATTTAGCTAAATATGATAGAAAGTCTCTGTAAGTAGGAACTATGTATTATTTTTATATTCACTTATATTCCGGATTCTGTGCTTTAGGTACCTTTATAAAGGGTAGAATTTAAATAGACGTTTGAGTCAGATGTTCATTCTGTTAGTTTTGTGATATGTTACGACGTACAGACTAAATAAAACATCTGATCTGACTGTCATACAAGTGGTGTGTCCTGGGTTAATCAAACATGTTTGAGAGTTCTAAGTAAGTCTGTATCCTGTCTTATTGCTTTAGCAGCAGGGAATAAATACGATTTGAAAGTCTGTTTGTTATTATTTCAGGAATCAAGGCCAGTGGTATGAATAAGGTGGCAATTCTGAAGGGAAGATTTTTGTAAGGATGGACCCACACCAGCAGATCGCCAGCATATATAATAGGGATACATTACAGATTCCCGAGTATGAAAAAACTTCCCAGTGTACAAACCAGGTACAAAAGCATGAGGACAGGCCCACAGAAGGAAGACGGCACACATGTAGTGAATGTGGAAAGAAGTTTGCTCAGAGCTCAGGCCTTGTTCGACATCGGAGAATCCACACTGGAGAGAAACCCTATGAGTGTGATCACTGTGGAAAAGCCTTCAGTGTGCGCTCAACCCTCACAGTGCATGAAAGAACCCACACCGGCGAGAAGCCCTATACTTGTAATGAGTGCAGGAAAGGCTTCAGTGTGAGGGCACACCTGATCATCCACCAGAGAATCCACAATGGGGAGAAACCCTATGAGTGTAATGAGTGTGGCAAAGCCTTTAGTATGAGCTCAGACCTTATCAAGCATCAGAGAATACACTCTGGTGAAAAGCCCTATGAGTGTGTCGAGTGTGGGAAAGCCTTCAGCGTGAGCTCAGCCCTCATCAAACATCAGAGAATCCACACAGGAGAGAAGCCGTATGAGTGTAAGGAGTGTGGGAAGGCCTTCTACGTGAACTCCGCCCTTATCAATCATCAGAGGATTCACTCTGGAGAAAAGCCCTATGAGTGTGGAGAATGCAGGAAAGCCTTCAGCCAGATCTCCACCCTCATCCATCACCAGAGAATCCACACTGGAGAGAAGCCGTATGAGTGTGAGGAGTGTGGGAAAGCCTTCCGTGGGAGTTCTAATCTTACTAAACACCAGAAAATACATGCCAAAGGAAAGTGTCCACAGTGATTTATATGGTGAAGATATTCCAAAGGCCTTTTTTTTTAAATCAGAATTTAACACCAAAAGGAGGGTATGGTAAAAATTTAATTGATACTTGGTCCCTCAGAATATTGAAGAAGTGAGAAGTCAGTGGAAATAACTCCAGAATGGTAACTAAAGTTCTAAAATCACATCTGCTTCTGAGATTGCCACTTTACAACTCATAAGGTAAAGCCATTTAAACATATACCATAATGTAGTTTACTTTGGCTTAGTAAGAGCAGACGTCAGTAATTCAACCACTGTCTTTGTTTTTCTCATGTACAAGCCTTTGTTATTGTTGCTACTAGTATCATGGGTAAAACCGATTAAGTTTTGAAATTGGAAGTTGTGTTGATTGGTGGGACAGGAACCACATATTTTCGTTGTATCTGGAAATACTAACCAATTGATTTTCCTTCCTTTGCCTTGGAGGTACCTCTGTTCTCTCAGGAGTAATTAGATAGGTGTGTTAGTAACTTCCTCGGCAGAAGATAGACTGCCTCTTTTTAGGTAGGAATCCAGTCAATAATTCTTCAGGGTCATTCTTTCTTCACCAGCGAAGTCCCAGGCCTTTCGACTTACTGATCCGATAAGCCCCCTAAACTTGACTGAGCTTCCTGAACCAAAACAAACAAAACAAAAACAAAAAGCCTCTAGACGCATCAGGTGCTCCAAACCCTTATATTTGGTGTTCCTCAGAGTGCGGTATGGCATCTGCAGATTCAGGAGGTGTGAGGATGGACAGACTCAGGCACTGTTGTTGAGCTGAGTTGGCATTGGTTGTAGGGTGACTTTCAAGGATCTGTTTGAGTGACTCCTTGAAGCTTGATGCCTGCTAACAACACGGAGTGTGGTGGACTCGAGAAGTGGTAGGAAGTGATTTCTAACTCCTGGGTAACAGGCCTGAAATTCTTTTGATCCTTGAAGCTAAATCACGTGAGGTTGAAGATGAACACCAAATTAATAGAACTTGCAGATTGCTTTGGTCCACAGTGTAGACAGGCAGAAGGAAACATTCTCTGAGAAGGTGAAATGCTGTTCACTCCTCAGAGTGGGATGACTGTGCTGTACAGGAATGCGCAGTTTCCAGAATTTCTCGTCGGCCCTTCCGGCCACTCAGCCCATAGATACGCTGGGTTCCATGAAGCTTTGTACCAGCTTGTGCTGCCAAGCACTGAAGTCTGAGATGCATATGGAAAAGCATGTCACGGAGTCTCCGATTCTGAGGTAGTGCTTACCCCTCTGCTCAGGTAGCTGTAGGCATGGACACAGGGGCTGAACACAGAGAAGGTCATGCTTATGGTGCTCAAATTGAGACAGGACCTCTCCTGGGGCATGGGGCACGCAAGAGGGAGTAAGGTACATACTTAGAGGCAGAAATTGAGGGCCTCGGCAAAACCCTAGGAAGTTGTCTTTGCTATGCTGGATTGAGAGTGTGAATTCCTCTGCCCTTCTTCTTGCTGCCTTTTGACAGTTGAAGGAGACTGGTTGCTCCTTGCTGCGCCCTAGAGAGAGTTCCCTGCCACCCTATTTCTGTATTGTTATCCGTGTTTTTAGTGTTTACCTCTTTGGCCTCAGCTGTCTTGGTTTGTCCCTAGGATGGAGCTTTGCAGGCAGACTCTTCTGGGATCAGCACTGAAGAGATGCCACATCCCACCCCAAACCAGCACAGCTGAATCCCAAGCACTAAGTGGTGAGTATTCTGAAGACTTTGAAGGGGCAGACATTCTGGAGGGGAAAAAAAAAATGTTTTACTGACGAGCATAGTGTTAGGAGATCAGGATTCATGTAACATGGTTACTTCTTATGAGCTCAAATTAAGGTATTAATGATCATCTCTTGTGGGCTGGGCCTTCTGCCAGGCACTAGGAATACAAAGATAAATGAAAAAAGCTCCCTACTCTCCTAGGCCTTAAAGTCTGACTGGGGGACAGGGAGAAGAGAGCAGATGAAAACAGCAATTGCAGTGATAAAGCCACTAGGTTTGTACAAAGGGCTTGGCACTGAAGATGTAACAGCCACTTGTGGAAGGGCTGGTAAGGTCTCAGAGAAGGAAGAAATGTTGGAGGAAGAGGAAAACTCTAGGAAGAGGAAAAGGGACGAAGGAAGGTATACTGGGAATCACATGCTAAAAGGTATGTGTCTGGGGGGGGCCTGGGTGGCTCAGTTGGTTGAGCATCTGCCTTCAGCTCAGGTCATGATCCTGGGGCCCTGGAAACCCCCGAGTCGGTCTCCCTGATCAACAGGGAGTCTGCTTCTCCCTCTCCCTCTGCTCCTCCCCCACTCATGTGCTCTCTCTCTCTCTCAAATAAATAAATATAATCTTTAAAAAAAAGAAAAAGTATGTGTCTGGAGGAAATGAGGGAGGTTTTCCCTGGTTATAGAATACCATAGGGAAATAGTGACAGATCACACTGGAGACAGCTGGGGGCCAGACCATAAGATTCCTTGATATGTATGCTTGAAAGTGTGAAACAGCCTCTCTGGGCTTGTGTTGAAATGCAGTGAGAAGTGCATTTTACCTTGTAACTCTGCCATTGTTGGGAGAGAGCCCTCATTGGGCCTCTCGCACTCCTGCGTGTCCTGCTCTACCTGGGCCGCACTCTGACGCAGGCCACTTGTTTGTGTTGTTTATGCCCCTGAAAGTCTTACGAGATGAGGTCCCATCTCTTGGACACAGATCAGGCAAGCTCACTGTGTGCCTGTTGGTTGTTTGGGGTTCTTTATGGAAAGTTCATGTATAGATTCCTGCACATGTTGTAGGAATTATTTACATATTGTTAATATGAGTCCCTTTCACAGAAAATGCAAATACCCTGTCCAACTCTATGGCTTGCCTTTCAGTTTTCTTAATAATCATGCCTTTTGATGAGCATTAGTTTCTTAAATTAAGTATAGTCCCATTTACCTATCTTTTTCTTAGTGTCTTTTTGTTTGGTATGTCTTTTGAAGAATTCTTTCTCTGCCTTGAGTTCATGAGGTTAATCTATATTTACTCTTTTTTTTCTTACGATTTTATTTTATTTATTTGACAGAGAGAGATCACAAGTAGGCAGAAAGACAGGCAGAGAGAGGAGGAAGGCTCCCCGCCGAGCAGAGGGCCCGATGTGGGGCCCGATCCCAGGACCCCGAGATCATGACCCGAGCCGAAGGCAGAGGCTTAACCCACTGAGCCACCCAGCACCCCTGCTCTTTAAAAGTCTTACAGTTTGGGGGCACCTGGGTGGCTCAGCCAAATAAGGGCCTGCCTTCAGCTCAGGTCATGATCTCAGGGTCCTGGGATGGAGTCCTGCATCAGGCTCCTTGGTCAGTGGGGAGTCTGCTTCTTCCTCTGCCCCTCCCTCCAACTCATGCTCTCTCTCTCTCACTCTCTTCCCCTCAAATAAATAAAATCTTTTTTAAAAAGTCATACAGGGCGCCAGGGTGGCTCAGGGGTTAAACCTCTGCCTTTGGCTCAGGTCATGATCTCAGGGTCTTGGGTCCGAGGCCCACATCAGGCTCTCTGCTCAACAGGGAGTCTGCTTCCCCCTCTCTCTCTGCCGGCCTCTCTGCCTGCTTGTGTTCTCTCTCTCTCTCTCTCTCTCTGTCAAATAAATAAATAAAATTTTAAAAAAAAGGTCATACAGTTTTGCCTTTCCATTTATATCTATAATCCATTTAAAATTGATTTTTAAAAATTTTAATCACATTGTATTTAACATACAGTGTTATATTTGTTCCAGGTATACAGTATAGTGATTCAGCTGAAATTGATTTTATGTATGAATGAGGTACTTAAATTTCATTCTTTTCCCACGTGAATATCCAGTTTATCTTGCATCACTTATAGGAAAGACTGTCTTTTCCCCACTGTTGTACAGTGCTCATTTGTCATCTATCAATAGTCTGTATACGCATAGATCTGTTTCTGGTTCTCTGTTATATTCCATTTGTTTATTTGCCTTTCCTTGCATGAGTACCACTTTTTCCTAATTACTGTACCTTTACATTATGCTTAGGTATTCGGTGGAACCAATCATCTTACCTGAGGAGTCTGGCTCCATTTCTGTGTGTGATTTTTTAGACCTGATTATAGGCTATTAGAAATGCTTTGCCCCTTGTAGGGGTAAGCTGCCATCCCACACTAGACTCGGAGGCACAGCTCGTGCATGCAGTCTGAGTTGCACGCAAGGATTCAGGACTGCCGGGGCAGTGGTGCTCTTGGGCATCTCTGTCCTGCTAGCCCAGGCAGCTCCATCTGGAGGCCCGTCCTGGTGCCTTGCTCAAGCAGCTCTGCCAAGACTCTCTTCTTGGGGTAGAAGGAACTTGAAGACACTTTCCCAGCTCTAACTCAGTATTCAGTACTTTTCCACTCCCAGCCTTTCCCCATCTTCTTCCTCTTGGCCACCAGGTCCATAAAATGACTGGACCCTTTTGTTTAGTGCTCTCTTGGCAATCACACAGTCCCACATGCATGCTGATCCACCTAACCCTCGCCTAGCACTGTTGGTGAGTAGACGGGAACACTGCAGTCACTGGCACTTTCTCTTGTCGAACGTCCTGCTGACAGCAGTGCATAAGCGATGAAAGGCTTAGCTGTTACGTTCCTGTTTGCCTGTGTTAACGGACCACGGCCACACCTGGCAGCTGGCGCAGTGAAGGGCTGTGAGATTGTACAAGTTGGCTTGGGCTACTTATGACCAACTAGATTTGTATTATGTAACCAACACCGCCTCCCTCCCCTGCCCTGCTCTGCTACTGCCCCGAATCTCGGTTACTTACAGCACGAAACATACTCTTGTTTATGTTATGTGTCGGCTGTGGGTCAGTGGCAGCTCTGTGATACATTCTCTCCACTTCAGGATCCAGGCTTGAGGAGGAAAAGAAAAGCAATGGTAGGGCCACACGACGGCTTCTACAGCATATACTCAGGAGGAGGGTGTGTGGTTTCCACTTAGAGTTCATTAGCCAAAGCGGGTCAGATGACCAGCCTTCTTAACTATATGGTGGGGGCAAACTCATTACAAAGATGGCAATGAGTAACTAAGAAAAAAATAATGTAATTTACCTGGAGATAGTATATCTACCATGATGGCCAATGTTTATGGAATGCTGTCTGTGTCAGGGCTTTTTCTGAGTGCCTTATGTATATTTTTTCCTCAACAAAAAACAATGATATGAGATACATACTACTATACTCCCATTTTACAGCTGAAGAAAATGAGGAACAGAGACATTAAAAAACTTGGTCATTCAGCTAGGAAATGATCAAACCAGGAATTGAAACCAGAAGTCTAACCTGACAATCTGTTCTCTTAACAGCTAACTGTAATATGAGTTTTAATATAAAGGTGTTTATGTACCACAGTGGCCTCTAAGAGCCAGTGTAGTACACTGGTAAAATCTTTAAAGGCGAGATCCAAGAGCCCCATGAGATCCAGGAGCCCTTGGTTTCAACCTGTTTTTAACCTCTAAGTAACTCTATTAGACGAGACTCATACCACCTAGCTGGGCCTCAGTGTCTGCATCCTTAAAAATAAAGGAGACAGGCCAAATATTCTCTAAGATTCCTTGCAGCTTTGAGATTTTTATAATCTCTCCAGAAAGAGAGTAAAATGCTTCATAGATGTGATGGCCCCTTTAATCTGTTTTACATGTTATGTTCACAGGAGATCTTGAATAAATATGTCTCCTTCCCAGTACCTTCCTCCGTTTCTACTTCTCCTGCTTTACAGGAGTAAAGTAAAGTGATGTACTCATAGTAGTAGCTTCCATTTATTGAGACCTAGTCTGTGCCAGGTACTTTTTCAAGTTCCTTAGGTTAATTATTTCATTTAAAAATACAGATGCAGGTTGGGCGCCTGGGTGGCTCAGTTGGTTAAGCAACGGACTTTGGCTCAGGTCACGATCCTGGAGTCCCAGGATCAAGTCCCGCATCAGGCTCCCAGCTCCACGGGGAGTCTGCTTCTCCCTCTGATCTTCTCCCCTCTCACACTCTCTCTCACTGTCTCTCTCTCAAGTAAGTAAATCTTAAAAAAAAAAAAAAATACAGATGCTGGGGCACCTGGGTGGCTCAGTCGTTGGGTGTCAGCCTTCGGCTCAGATAATAATCCCAGGGTCCTGGAATCGAGCCCCACATCTGGCTCCCTGCTTAGCGGGAGGCCTGCTTCTCCCTCTCCCACTCCCCCTGCTTGTCTTCACTCTCTCGCTGTGTCTCTCTCTGTCAAGTAAATAAATAAAATCTTTTTTTAAAAAATACAGATGCTACAGAAAAGAAGAAAAGCTGAAGAAAATGCTCTAAACATCCATTTTTGAGAACTTTTAAAACATGGAAAAAGGGACTTCTAGCCTCCAGAACTGTGAGAGAATAACTATCTTTTGTTGGAAGCCAAAAACAAACAAACAAACAAAACACGGGAAAAGGAGCTCCTGATGGCTCAGAGGAGCATGTGACCCTTGATCTTGGAGCCCCATCTTGGGTGTACAGATTACTTTAAAAAATAAAACACACACAGGAAAATAACCCAAAGGAAAAAGAAGAAAATACTAAAGAGCAGAAATTAATGAAAAAGCAAGTATATATCCTTACTTAGAACTTCTACATATAAAAAGTCATGTTTTAGGTGATTTCTCTCTGTAGGCTACTCTCATTTGTTATGTTTGACTTCTTTCTGCCTCTAGGGAAAAAGATGCTAATTTCATGATCAACCTGTTCTTTCAGACGGTGACTCCTGGCCCCTGGCCGTAAACAAGGTTCCATTTCAAAGCAGAGTTTTGCAGAAGTTCATCACCAAGTGAGGGAGGAGCCTCTTTGAAGAATCACAGGTTATATTGCTTCAAGCCAAGCAGAGTATCTCTCTGAGAATGAGACCTAAGGCACTTGGGAGAACTTGCCCTGAAGTTCACTTCTGTCCCTGCTCTGGAAGTGGGAAATTCTCCCTTCACCTTGCGCACAGTTTCAACTTGTAATAAACTAATAAAAGAAGCAGCTGTTTAGTAAAATGAGTGATCTCAAGTGTCTGTCCCTAATAATACAAACCCTGGAACACCAGCAGTCTGCATGCAAGCACCAGCATGTCCA